AGCTCTTGAACACACACACACACACACACACACACACACACACACACAAGCCCAGAGGGAAGGCAACATCCCCTCAGCACAAAAGGCTCTCTGCAGAGTTACCCACTGCTGCTCCTCCTGTGCCCTCTGTTCAGCTTTAATGTACGAGATCAGCAGATGAGGAGTTGCTCATGATGTTCCTATTTCCCCAAATGGAAGTGCCACCTTTAGAGCGTCATGGTGCCACTTCTGCCAGTAGAGTTGAAATCAGAGGTGATTAGTGTTTAACAAATAATAAGAGACTTTTGAACACACTCTACGCCCCTCTTTCAATTAAACAGCCACATTTTGTGCTCTTGCTAATAATATATATTCTTTGCTTTTACAGCACTGCCCTCTGCCCGGGACACACCCAGCCCCATTGACCCAGAGTCTATCCAGGTGCCCGTGACCTATGAGCCAGACCCGGCAGACCTGGCCCTGTCCAGCGTGCCTGGTCAGGAAATGTTCGACCCCAGGAAACGCAAATTCTCTGCTGAGGAGCTGAAGCCGCAGCCCATGATCAAAAAAGCTCGCAAGGTCTTCATTCCCGAGGACCTGAAGGTGACCTGCTGTCTCTGTCTCTGTTTTTGGTCTGATGTTATGTAAGCAGGGGAGGGTCTAATGCAGCTTAAACCCTTAGGGGGTTCGGACCCTGGACTAAAAGCCAAACAAGCTGCGTTCTCAAACGTGGAAAGCTTATGAGGTCTGGAGTCGTAGCAACAATAATGTAGTCAAAGGCTCAGTTTTTTGAACAAAAGACCACAGCTGTTTATCTCCCATCAAACCTGTAAATAATAACAATGACAAAAGGAATTTATTCATTTAATACTTCTATTTTTATTGTAACACTACAGAAATCAAGGGGTTTTTTTTGCAGGCTGGAACTTAGAGCAGGGCAGTACCAGAGTTTCCATATTTGTTTACAGCAGTATTTTAACAGATTGAATTTTCTGTGGAAGTTGTGTAGAACTACAAAAGCATTTAGAATATTTTAAACTGATAGAATCAGCAGAGCTTGACATCCTCTGATATTTGGGCCCCTCCTGCAGCAAGCCAGAGGCCTTCATCATGCATCAGACTGTGTAAAGACTTGCTGTTGCTGTGTCCGGTTCTAGCCTGTGTGCTCTGCTTTTCAGGACGATAAGTACTGGGCCCGGCGCAGAAAGAACAACGTGGCAGCCAAGCGGTCACGGGACGCTCGGCGGCTGAAGGAGAACCAGATCGCCATCCGGGCCGGCTTCCTGGAGAAGGAGAACGCCGCTCTCCGCATTGAGGTAGCAGACTTGAGGAAGGAGCTGGGCCACTGCAAAAACATTCTGGCTAAATACGAGGCCCGGCACGGGCCCCTGTGAGACACCAGGCCCCCCAGCTGTCACCACCAAACCCCTGCCACACCCACTCTGCTGACCCAGCCCACCTTCCCTCAAGTTTGAAGCACAATGTGTCTCTTTTGGTGGCACTACCACCACCTATATCTCCTTCCACAGACCTCCCGTCCCACCCCCCTCCCCTCCCACAACACTCTGTATAATTCTGGTATTATAAGAGTCATTTTGACTTCTATCATAAGCTTTGGTTTGTCTGTTCCTCCTTTTATTTTCGGTACACATGGTCTGACTAAATACACAGACATGTACATAGATATGTACAGATGCATACTTCCCACTGTAATGTTCTGTGAGGAGTTATGAGCCAACCCACCAGCTGAGTCCCCCCCACCATCTTCCACCTCTGAGAAATGATGCCATGCTGTTTGTCTTTCACTTTCATACCAATTTTATACATGAAGTCAGGACTGCAAACTGTTTCCCGATTCCCTCCTCCTTCTTCTTCTTCTTCTTCTTCTTCTGTGTTTTATGTGACATGTCAAGAGGCTGCTTAGTCCTCCCAAATCTTGTGGTTTTTTTTTTAAAGCCTTGTATAAGATTTGTCTTATTTCTATCAGCATCATCGCCTTCTTTTTGACCCTTTTTGAACTCTGATGCTAACGTCTCCTCTTGCTTCTTAGCAGCAGCATCCTCGGTATTTTCACCTGCAAAATCTGTTTTCTTGTGCAATTGTGATGTAGATTTGCTGTTTTAAAAAAACAAACAAACAAAAGGCACCATTCTGGTTTTTATTCTTCACCCAGACACTGAGCAATAATTCCTGTCCAGAGTTAAACTGACATGACTAACTACATGTCCCAGACCCTTTGCTGCCCCCCTCCCCCCCCAGGCAGATCTCTACCTAGTCTCCCCCCTTTTGACGCTCTCACATCTTAGCTCACCTCTGTTAACTAAGGTAATCTTTGGTTAACTTCTGCACTAATGCGTCTCACAATCTAATCTAGTGAAATGTTTCCACGTGCTCAAAATGTCCTTCCTACCTTTTATTTCTCAGATGGAAGATTGTTGTTTTATATATAATAATAATATAATATATAAGCAAAAGGCTATTTACACTGTTGTTTTTTTGTTTGTTTGTTTGTTTGTTTGTTTGTTTGTTTCAAAAGTATTGGTAATTCCTTTTGCTTCTGTTTAACTTGGCATGATTGTGTTTTTATTTTAGGGATCCATACACATATCTGTAGTCTCTGGGTAGCTCTGTGTCTGCCTTCTTTTTTTTTTTTTTTTTCTTCAAGCTGCCTGTGTGAATGTAAAATATGTCGACAAAAAAGTTGTCCGATACTGTGGTTAACCCGATCGGTTTGTTTACTGCAGACCAAACGATTCACAACAGAGACAATATATTGGTTACAATAGATGATGTTTATATAAACCTATAAGTTGTTTTTTTTTTGTACAGTATTTTTCCTAGACATTACTGAACTGTGTATTTTAAAGGCAGAGCAGATCTAAAATATTATGAAAGAATATAAGTATATAACGCAAAGAAAATGTGAGGTCGTGGTATTTTGATATTCTGTATTAGCTAGGATAAGGTCTTTTTACAGAAGATTGTGGATATCCAGCAGCACCCCAACCTCCAGGGCATTATTATTATTATCACTTTTATTATTGTTATGCCACTGCTTTTATCAGTGCCACCTTTAGGCATAAAGGACATGTCAGTCCCATTAAAGTGAGAGGAAGCAGTGCACCATCACAAAATGCAGTCCAGAAGAAAGAATGTAAAGGTGGGCCCTTTCTAAAATCCACCAAGTCACACTTTGTCATTTTCGGTGTAGTAACCTGCCCCACGACACGCCCCAACATCCAGAGTAAGTCGTCCAGCAGCAGGCTATACTTTCTTTCAATAGCAGATATTCTTTTAAAGGCTTTTCCTGACCGTGTAGCTTGTCTTCTTTGTTGCTGATCTGATTGGATGGGGTGAAGGGAGGGAAGTCTATAGCTGGTTTACTATTGCTGCTGCCTTGTGTGTGTGATTAGCTCATCCAATTGTGTTGTGGCCATAGAGCTGCACTACAATCAGTCTGGAGTGGGACATGACCGATTATTATCTTTTTTTTTTTTTTTTTTTATTTGGAGGTTGGATCATTTGTATGGGAGTTTGGAGCCGACGACATTAAAAGGAAATAAAATATAGTCAATTTCTGGCACTTGAGAAATACACCTTCATTTTTTGCTGACAGAAAAAATCACTTATGTTGTGGCACTGAAGTTACAGTTAGCACCCAGTTAGCTTAGCTTTGTGGGGATAAACACATTTCTTAAATCCTGGTAGTAAAAACTGCATTTTAACATAAAATGACAATGTTAAGTCTATTTTGTCAAGAATTGCATGAACACAAACAGGAAATTGTCTTTTTTTTCAATATTATCTGTCCTGGACTTCCATAGTCTTTTTCAACATGTGTCTAAATTTCAGTCACCAGTATTTAGTTCTTTTCAAAGTGTGAAAAATTCTGAAAACAGGATTTTAAAACATAACCCTAAATTTAACAGAGAAGTAACATGTGTCTAATCCCAGGCCAGACTTGGCTGAGCAGTCTCAATCAGATCCAAAGGTTTGTGTGATGTAAAATGATTTTTTTTTTTCTTTTTAACCACAAACTACTGTCTTACTGTTTTTGTGCTTTAGAGGGTGTTTCTTTTCTACATCTTATCTGCTCAGACTCACTCAAGTGTGAATAGGCTTTGTAGAGATGACTGGAATGATGTCTTCTGAATGTGTGGAGCATCTTTTTTTTATATGAAATTATATTTAAGTATATACACACACATACATAGGAAAAAGCCAATACTTAATCCATGTGTATCCCAAAATTACCTCACTGTTGAGTGATTTCACTACCTCACCTGGAAATATTAACCATAATTCTGAGTCTATTCCAGTGCCTTGAATACACTGACTGTTCCCCAGTCTCTCAGCAATGTAAAGCTCTCATCACAGCACCAGTCGGATAGGTTCAGAGCTGCACTGAAGGGCTTCTTGGTGCATCAAAAATCTCTTTATTATATACACTGACAACCCTTTTCATTTCAGACTTTGGACATTGCAACAGACTTGCAACCATTGTATTCATGGCAACACTAATGGACTGTTTCAGAGTGTATAAAAATACAAAACAGTGGAGTATTCAGTCTTGTTTATGGATGCATAACATTTATTTGTGCTGTTCAGCCTTCAGCCTCTGTCTCTCTGTAATTTGTAGTGTCTAATAAAATCCCAGTTCTTTTCTGACATGTTTTATTTCTCTGCTCATTTAATTCAAATTGCTATAGCAATCTGGATGTCATGGTATTAAATATTAGGGCTGGGTGTCAATTGTAATGTCCTGAAAGCACAGAATATTGAAAACTGTCAAGTTCTGAAAGTTGGCCTCAAATGTCTCCTTTAATTGTTCAGTGAGATGTACTGTATGTGGGTGTGTGTGTATATATATATATAACAAAAAACTCACTGTAGGCTTTTTTGTGTCCAAATCCTGTCAGAAGATGAAGGAAGGCTCATACGCTCTTTGTGTCCCTATAGGAATGAGTCTATCTAATGAGAACAGTCAATACCTACCAGTACTCGTGATAAATGAGGACCTTGTCTGGAGGCGCAGATGTAGGGCATTATCATTTTTTATTGTCACATTAGAAAGGTGATAAATATAGTGGAGGAGCATTCATGTTTATGCAGCACCATTAACCGTCAATGGAACAGACAAGTAGCAGTTTTCCCCCTGCAAAGGCCAAGGTCATGTAATCAACAGAACAGACATTACAAAACAGTGGTTAAAGAACTCGTTTCAGCAGCAGCCATAATTCAAAATATGCAATCAATCTGCTCCATACAGCACTAAGAGGAAAGCAACAGAACGGTCATTTTTGGAGTCGGAAGCTCGGGAGGAAATTTACAAAACAGCATGTGACAAAAACATTCTTGCATCGGTCAGACCCATTTCCGAATACAGACAGGAAACGATGTTCATCTTAATGGTGCAAATTAAAGACAGAGAATTAGTGGAAATGCAATACTGGACTACAGTACAAAGGTTGCGCATACACACGCTGCTGTACAGTTCACATTACAAATACAGTGGAATAACTGGCTTGTCATATTGCCTGAACTAGCTCTCTGATCATCTGGTTCATTAACACAGTCCCACCTCTTCTGCATCACCTCCACACTCCCTGAAATGTTGTAAAAGAGGGATAACAAAATGAACATACTTCCACAATCAGCTGCTTTAAAGCTTCCTTCTCTTACTGACCAACTTACCAAGCTCCGACTTCAAATCTGTACTGATTAGGGCTGGGCATCGAAACACAACACTTTATGGTAGAGTATCAAAAGTTGGCATCAAATGTCACGCAAGATACTCTCCTTATTCTTTGATTGATGGGTTACTGATTTAAATCAGAATTTGCCAATTTCAAACTATTTCACTCTGGCAAAGTTCCTGCACTACTGCTAGAGTTAAGAAAACATATGAGACCTTTGGCTTCAAATGTTAATTTCTCAACAGTATCAAAAAAAAGTATTATTTGGTATTAGTACTGAAACTCAAGTATCATGTCAATACTACTATTGATATCCAGCCCTGATACTGACAAGAGTGGGTTTTAGCACCTTGTAACCCCAGTGTACAAACTGCCAGCTGAAATGGATGAATCTCCAGGTTTTGACACTCGTATGTCCCCAAACATGGAACGTGATGCTCTTCATGTGAAACAAAAGTCTGCTATCAAGTTTCTCAAACCCTCATGAATGAATGTGCAGAAGTTAATACTAAAAGGTCAAAATTCCTTCCCCCAATATCAAGTTACTTTTTTTCAGATTGACATTGTACAAAGCAGCTCTGAAAAAAGCTTTTGTTTATCAGTGAGGCGCTCAAAAACCTGCCATCCACGTTAGCAAAGAATTCATGGTCAATACTTTCTGTAAACTGTAAGTAACACAATCAGTGTGCAGGCTCCTCTGCTCAGGAGCACAAGGGGAAGGTGGGGAAGCGTGGTCATGAATTGAGCAAGCTGTCGACGCCTGGAGCCGTGTAGAGGTATTTCCAGATAGCGTAGTAGTGCACGGCTGCAGCAAGCGCCACAAAAACGTGCCAGATGGCGTGGGCAAAGGGGATGACGCCGTCACTCTTGAAGAAGAGCACACCGAGGCAGTAGATGAGTCCTCCCCAGGCCAGCTCATGAACCCCGTCAGTGTTGCTCTGCAGAACACATCAAAAAAGGGAAAATAAAGGACTTCATTTTCATATTTGGATTAAATCTACTAATCTGCTGATGTTGGCTTGGTAAAATAGAATCATTTAGTTTTCTTTTAAATGGCAGCATATACACAGGAAAGGAAAAATACATTTATTGGTGTACAATAACTGCCAAATTAGTGCTGTATTAACATTATAAGTGTTATATTCTCTGAAACCACTAGAGGGCAGCAGATATTAAAAAGCTTTGAAATGGTGGCACTGAGTAACTGCAACAAGATATCAAGATGAAACTTGTGCCAAACCTCAGAAGAATAATGCTAATACCCCCTCCCCGCAACATACAAGATGGAGAAGCAGCAACCCGAAAAAATACTATTTTTATTAACAATACTGACTTTAATCTAGCTTTCATTTAACAGTGAGCACTCAAACATCAACAAGATGTCAGCAAGAAGAGGAAGCAAACAGATACGCCTCCGCCCTGCTGTAGCAGCCTGTGGAGCCGCTGGGTGGAAGAAGTGACGCGGTGAATCAGACATGAACTGAATGTCAATGTAAATAAATCACCATTGATGTCACCGCCGATGCAGGGAAAAATCCCATCGTCAAATAGAAGGCCAACTCAACAAGTTTATACCTGTGAAGACAAAGACAACGCGTTTACTGACATCATGCATGTTCAAGGAAGTTTCGAGCACTGGCACAGCAGAACAGGAGCGCAACAAACTTTCATATTACATTCACAAAAAATCTCCAGGAAGTAGTACTGTCCTGATTCAGTACTAATCTATTAGAGCCATAGCAGAAAAAGGATGTTTTAGAACCAGAAGTGTTGAGCTGGTTTCATGACAACTATCCCTGCTGAGTCAGCAGGACACTGGCAGGCAAACTACTACTGTGACAACATACAGTACATGAGGGAGTTAAAGGTGTTAACACTCAGCAAGAGCCCATTACTGTGACTGAGCATAGACAATAAAACAAAGCATGGAAAACAAACTTGCCAAACCTGACTTAAAGCTTTCAGTATTGTGCTGAGTCTGCACAGTGTTCTTAGAGACCAAACAGTGAACAAAAAGACAGAGGGATGCAGAAGCAACACAGTGAAACCACCTTTGTAGCTGATTCATGACAAATGGTAGAGAGGAGAGTCTTTAAGTACAAGCAAAGAGAAGTAACCAGTTTCATCAGTTGTCTAAATATTTTATAACATCTACTGGCCTTAAAAAAAACAAACCTTTAGTCACTGACAGAACTGACTTCTCATATCTATGTAATATGAAATTAATCCTTATTTTCTGACCTTGTGACATGAGGGAGGATATGTTAGCAGGCTAAAAGCAGCCGGTCTGTAAAAGTTCTTTGTGTGCGATGCAGCAGTTGATAGGGTTTATCTGATGGTGCAATCTGAGACAGGACTACTCTCTTGCTCTACATCAAGTATCTGGTTTAGGTTACTGGAGATCAAAAAGGATAATAAATAATCCAGAATCATAAATGATTCAGCAGAAGTATGGTTTCTGGTTCATACAGGCAACATTCAAGTATATTAGTGTCAGAGACAAAGGGTGTGTGGCTTTTAGGCATTTAACCTTGTGTTTCCATCTAGGAAAGTTCGCATTTAACCAGTGAAGTTTTGCTAGATTCACTTCCAAACTGAAGTATAATCTTAATGTTTAAATTCCAAATGTCACATACATACACAAACAGCCGGCGATCCATTTGTAACATCCACTCACTTTTCATGATAGCTGAAGACATAGATGGTTCCAGCAGCAGCCATGAGCCACACAAACCAGCGCATATGTGCTGCTAGAGGGCTCAGTTCACGCAGGTTCAACCTGAGCAGAAGCAGAGAACATGGCATCAATATTAGACCTCCATTTATGACACAAGCCCTTGTGAGTATAAACCATCATCTGTCTGACACTCACCAAGGTGTGTAGGAGGCAGCAATGAAGAAATAAATGACCACTCTGTCACACATGTGAAAACAGTGTTCCATAGACCTAAGCAAGACAATAAAAAGTTGAACAGGTTCTGTCTTTGTTACTCAAGCTGAAGTTGCTTGAATCTTTATTGCTGACCTGCAGTAACATGTAAACATACTGTCTTAACTGAATGATTACGTTAGACCACGGTGGCATTATCACCCGGACCATTGACCCGACACGCCATCAACATTCCTCAGTAGCACAGCACAAGGAACCTCGCACCGCTTACAGAAAACTATGCTTAGAGATTTAACTTTTCATCACAACACAATGATAACTGATAATATTATGTTCGACTGTATTTTAAAATTGATCTGTAGCCTGAAAATACAACCCTCCTGTACTGCTTTTGTATAATATGGCTTTGCTCAAAGAAAGAGCATTCGCCAAGTTCTCAGCAGTATGTCGCTCTGGCATCGATTTAGTCTGAAGAACAGCACTCTGCATTGCCCAGTTGTTTATATAATGGTGGGTAACTGTCACATACAATTTCAGTTGTCCATGCATCCATGGTCAGAGACACATTTTCGACACTTGTCAAACAACTGTGCAGCTCACATGCATTAAACCAAAATTCACAAAGAAAAAAAAATAAAGCCACACAATCTACAGAAAGCAAAAACTTACGCATACAGCGTCCTATCTGAAAGCCCTTTTACACTCACTCTCATCCTGTGTTCTGGTGTCAAGTCTGTGTCCTCAGGCATTTTATATATATGCTTTCAAGCATACTGTGTGTACTGCATATGGTTTTATGACAGCATGCACTGATACAGGTTTGTCACTGCGTTTCTCCTCACCTCATGTGGCTCTTCTTCCAAGTGATGATATGAAACACAGTGGAGACCAGAAAGAGGCCACACAGGCCCATACCGTACACCCAGGCTGTGAACCTTTCCCAGCGGGTGTCTGACAGACGGTGCAGCAACGCCATGCCCTAGCCAATATCTGCCAACCACTTCCCGGAAAGCCTTTTGGTCACCTGGTAACTGGCACCCAACCACCGCAGCAAGCGCAGCGCATACAGCGTCCTATCTGAAAGCCCTTTTACACTCACTCTCATCCTGTGTTCTGGTGTCAAGTCTGTGTCCTCAGGCATTTTATATATATGCTTTCAAGCATACTGTGTGTACTGCATATGGTTTTATGACAGCATGCACTGATACAGGTTTGTCACTGCGTTTCTCCTCACCTCATGTGGCTCTTCTTCCAAGTGATGATATGAAACACAGTGGAGACCAGAAAGAGGCCACACAGGCCCATACCGTACACCCAGGCTGTGAACCTTTCCCAGCGGGTGTCTGACAGACGGTGCAGCAACGCCATGCCCACAACGGCCGGCAGAATGAGGAGCTACAGGAACAAAATTACAGGTCAATTTAAAGAATGTACAAACAATTTCTAGGCTACTGTGAGTTTTCGTTTTTGTTTCCAATTTAACAAAGTGAGAGCATATCTTCTACATAAAGAGAAAGTAGTTTAAAAGTACTTACTGCATGAGTATAGAAATTTGCAGCATGCTCATAGCAGGTGGGTTGGTAGCGGCAGTTAGCAGAAGCCCGCCTGTTCATAAACCTAAAACAAAAATAACCAACACAAGATTAACCACTACCATTCAGCACCAGACCTTTGTCTTGAATCAATCTAAAGAAGACTGTTAGCAATGATGTAAAATATCTTCCACAATTAACAAAATATGTATAAAGCACATAGACCATAAACAGTACAGATATAGTGTATCATAACCACGTTGTTGACAAATAGATGGATGGGTTTGTTACTGCAGCCAAGTAACATCAGTGTCTGAACAGCCAACAAATGATATTATTCTATCTGCGTACGTACAACAGTGGGACAAATTAGGTTTTACAAATTGGGGTGCGTAAATATTAGTAGACAATCACCACACCTTATTAAATTGTTGCAACTGTCCTTTACATGAAACAACCACTTTGATTGGAGATAAGTAGGATGAAAGTTGAAACTGCATTCAATCATTGCTTGAATGTGATGTTCCTTTTGTTATGTACCCCAACCGACTTGCTTATTACAGCTATCTGACATTAAAATGGCAGTAATGTTTAGTAATCTTTGCCTGACAAAACATCATTTTTTTAAGATATGATCGATCGCACCCACCTCTGAAAGCTGTTCACTCTCTTCATTTCAGTACCTTATTGACACAGAAAGCAAAGGGGAGAGGAAAGCAGCAACCGCCAGCAAACAATAGAGCTACAAAACCCTGCTTTAAAAAGGAAGAAACAAAACAAAACCGACCTAACAAATCAAAGGAAACGTAAGGCCTAGCATTAGCTACTCAGCTAACGTTACGCTACTCATAAGCTAACTTTCACTACAGCTACAAGGCACCGGCAGCACTAATACTCCCACAACAAAGGTCCCATTTTAGCCTTTTCCTTAATACCATTCTGTAACAAATACTGACTCACTGCTGGTTTTTAAAGTCTAAAATAGCCATAAGCACTAGCGGCAAAACCCCCTGCAAAGCAACTACCCCGCCAGTCAGCAATAGGTTACTACTCCCCGCTACGCTGAGCCTCAACAAAAATATGATTTTTTTGGTACCCGGACACCCTTCGAATGGTGAGATTGTGAGTGACAGCACTTTAAGCCAATGAACAGCGACATTACCGGCATACTAGCCAATCAGATATTAGGTAGACGGCGTCGTTAAGGGCGTGTTAGTGTGACATTATGGTCTGATTTTCAGAGATTCGAGTTCAAGATTGAATGATACTGTTTATGGGAAACAAACAAACAGTAAAATGTTGTGAAATTATTTGGTTTAACTCAGTATTCCAAAAATGACATTTTACCTTATTCTTTTTGCATTGATGCTTATTTTACACCCTGTCATGTGTAACCTGCAATTCATTCCTTTGAAAAAGATGATTCAAAAAAATAGTGTTGTGTTATGGCACTGGCACAATTTGCCACACCTAAAGCAGCCAGTCTCTGTCAGGCTTCTTAAAAGAGTGAACACGTGCATTTCTTATGTTCGCGGCACACCTAAAAGGATTTCCTCAAACATAGTTTCTGACTGACGTACATGTTTCATAAACATGTTTGTGATTTGCTTTGAGCAGTGGCTCAAATCTGTGACAAAACATAGGGGATATTGATTTGTGTTTGTTTGTTTAAGTTTAGATTTTTATTAGACAGGTATTTATCTCTGTGTGTTTCTTTTGCCTACTCATTTGCCACATTAGTGTTGTTGAGGGGAATAATTCCTGTCAAGGAAATAAGATCACACCTTTTCTGCTTTATTATGAAAATCATCAAGGGTGAATCAATTTTACTGTAAACCTAAAAATAGACTGGCACTGTGCCTAAAGTGTACCCCACGTCTTGCCCAGTGTCAGCTGAGATTGCTCCCCACCCTTCTGACCTTCCACAGGATAAGTGGTATAAATAATGGCTGAATGGATGGATAGTTTTGTTAATTAGTAGCTATTCAGTAGTTTGTGTATTTCTGAGAGGAATCTGTCCATTAAACTACACATCTGACTTAAATGTGAAGATGCTGATTGTTTTAGTACTGTAGCCTAATTAAAAATGATCAACCTTCAGGTAATAGAAACAATTGAGTGAACGTGGGGGATGATTTAGAAATGTTTATGACCGACAGATCTTTTTCCTTATGGTCATCTACAGGGGCCCTTTCCATGTATACTCTGTCTGGTTGTTTTCCTTGTGCCCTTTTGTTGGCTCTTGGAGGATTTTCTACTAACTTCTCCTGTAGTTTGCTTTGATAGAGAAAATCTTAACTGTTGTAATCGTGTCTTCAATCTGGGTGAACTCTTCGGATTTTGGGCATTTTTCTTTCGTTAAAGTCCCATTTTTTAATTTTTCACTTTCTCGATTATCATATCTTTCGGACAAAGGGAGCATTTTAACTGTATCTTATCCCATTTGTTCATGAATTTAGTATCCTCAAAGTCAACAGAAGAAGCTCCTTCTGTACCCAAGACGATGGCGTGTCATCAGTTTGGAGACAGATTTGAACAAAGAAGCCCCAAGTTGCTCTCGATGGCTGAGACAGCACCACCATGTGTGTGTGTGATAGTTGGCGTCACAGATGGCTGCCTCAGTTCTGTACCCAAGACAAATTCCTTGTGTGCGTAACATATGTGGTCAATAAAAGTGATTATCATTTTAGTCTAACAATTTTCATGGATGTCAAGTTCAGTTAAAGAAGGTCCTCTCCCATAAACGACGCAATACTGACCACACTGACTGTATCACCAGCTTACCATGAAGTGAAACTAGCTATAGCCCAGTTCTCTTTTTAATGTAGATTTAACTGTGTGCACAAGATACTAGAAACAGCTGCTGCTGTTATCAGAGACAAAAACATTTGTATTTTTGGTGGAGCAGCAGGAGCTCCACCACACACACACATACATACAGTGACACGCTGTAACAGTCCAGTTGCATAATGGCATGGTAACTTGATCAGTGTCTCTTAGATATAACAGTGTTTACATAAGACCAAAGTGCAATCCTCAAGCTTAACAAAGTTCAAGTTGTACACTTTGTTACTGCCATGACAAGAGCTGAACCCTGAGCATATTTTCTTTTTATTATGACTCTTTTCTATGCTTATGAGCAGCAGACACAGATAGCCACTTTCTCTTGAATTACAAAGGGCTGAGTGTATATACACATTAAAAATTCAATTAGGAATGGTATATAAAGGTGGAAGTCTTTGTGGTTCTGTACACATGCTGTACTAGTAGGAACAGAGAAGGAACAGGAAGAACGAGCTCTTTGTTCATGTTGGAATTTTAAAAGACAATTGGCAGAGACAATGGGTGCAAGCCAGAGGATATATGTCAGGGGACAGCATCTCTTTGTTTTTGGCTTCAGCTGTGCTCCTGTTTCACCAACACCTCTAATATAACACAGGCTACAAGTTGGCAGCTTGTGACAGCAGCTCAGGATGACGTCCTGTTCTGGCTTTGTTTGACTTACAATGATCACCTCCTGAGTGTAGTGGTGGGATGGAGTTTTTCTACAATATTGTTAGACTCATGATGCACAGTTTTTAAAAAAAGAATTAGCATTGAGACAGCAGAAGCAGAGATATTCTTTTTTTAATTCATGGTCCATTTCACCAAGCAATGTAAACCACTGACACTTCAGTCAGTGATTCAGGTGTGTTAGCCAACATAGCCTGGAGCCACTGTCTCCAGCAGTGTATTTGTCCTCATCTCACCCTGCCCTTTCCTGCACACTTGTTTCTAGCCACTTTCCCACTCTGTATTACCAGAGCCCAGGTAGCATAATGTGATTAGTGGATAATAGCAGAGTAAGGTGAAGAATTGGATGCTTTGCCTAATTTTACAGTCATAAAAAGTACAATTTGAAAGTAAATATGGAAAAGCAGATTCAGAATGCATGGCAGCCAAGCCTGCTTGTGACTTAGAGCACAGTTAACCAATAGATGTGATCCAGCCTTCTTTCTGGACAAAGTTGAGAGCAGTTTTGTAAACTGCTCTCAAGAGAGTGTCAGTTTGGCAATTGGGCAATAGTGTCTGCCTCTGTCACAGTTGTTATATCCTCATTGAATTTTTCTTTAAATAATGCTTTTTATTTATCAGAAAATCATTTAAATTTTCTGCCATAAAGGTTGCAGGAAACAAAGTTTTAAAAGTGACCCATGGAGCATTTGTACGAACATTTCTGAACCTGCCGTTCTTTAATAGGGTCTGAAGTCAAACCTGCTTGTATTATGTGACACAGTCTCGCTGTCAAATGAGGGTCAGACCCATGCTGACCTGTTTTCTTTGTCCTTAACCTCTCAGCTGCTCCCCTCATCAGGATAAGAGATCATATCATTTGATATGGGGAACACAAAGTCCTCCACAGGGAAATACTACAAATGACTAAAATACATGTGAGTGAAGCCGTTGTACTGCTTTTAATATAACAACTTCTCCTGGTCTGTTAGAATATACTGTACATATGCCCTCAGAATAAAAGAGGCTTTATGTACACACGTGACATGGGGTTAAACAGCTTTGTAATTGGTTTACTGTTTCACAGTAGAATGCACTGGCCATAGGTTATATCGCATCACCTATAGGCCTATAACAAAATAAAGATTATAACTGTAAAAACTGTAGCAGTATCCATGTTAAGTGTCTCTAATACAACATTTATGCCCTCATACTTATTGTAAACCCTCAGAATAATGTGCTGTTAATGATAATAATGGCAATGGTAATGCTGGTACAGCATACTGTAATGTTGGCTGGGTTCGAAAAAGGAGCCGGACACCAAAACTGCTATTTCTGCAATCTCACAAACTGTAGTTTTATTACACACAAAGCAACAACCGAACAGAGTGAACACAAAGAATCCTCTTCAAACCCACAGCTATATACAGCTTTCCCATAGGGGCATTCTGGGGGACCCTGCCAAGTGCCTCTCCTACCCCAACACAACAATATTTATCCTTGTTAGTTTTTATTGTCATGTCCTACTACAATATATAAGGAATGAGAAGATGCATGGTCAGGACTTGTGAGCCATTTACAATGATACAAAATGTATTTATCATCTTTTCATAAAGCTTTCCAGACTTTACATAGAAAACCATCAGCCTAATTTGCTGCACATTTCTCCGCAAAGCTCCATCCAGGTTTCTGTCCATGTTTACTGTCAGAGTTCTCAGAGCTATGAGATCTCTTTCTTTCATTAGCTGGCAGCACAAACTGATGTTGAAATCTTAGTCAGTTGAATAATCAGGAACCTACAAAAAACACAGATTCAGTTGCCTGTATGACCTTAATTTTGATAGTACTATTACTCATGTTTATATTTATTTAGACTATAGCTGGAAGGCCTAAGCCCCAGAGACTGGAAAACAATAGCCAAATAGAGTGGATGATCTAAAACGGCATGAACGATGATAAGAAAATGTGAAACTAAAGACAACTGTCCACAAAAATAAAATTACAGTGTACTGTATAGACATCAACTATTTCCCTGTTTTACTTATTAGTGGTCAGGGTGGTTGTCATTTGCAAGGTTAGCATTAACCTTGACAACCTGACTGATTCTGTCTGAGAGCTAGGCTAACTAGCTAATTTGGGTACATCAACATGGATTTTGGCATATTTTCAGGTGTTAACAAGACTACTAAATAATACACAGTTCTACATATACTGTATATGTTAGGCTTCATGACATTGACTTTTATCTGTCCCACTGCACCCACTCAGGTTAAACTTGACCGACTACATTATTTCTGCCATTTCTCTCCAGGAAATGTTTGTTAACTAAAATCAAAACTGACCTGTTCCAAGTAACAGATTTACTGAACTTGTAAATCCCAGTACAGCTCATTTTATATCAGACTGCTGTGTCCCAGTTCCATTCCACATACTACTAGTACATTCACAAAAAGTGATCAAATTAAAGCTACAGTATGTATGATGTATGTGCATCAAAAGGAACAGTACTGAGTGCAGTAAAGGTGAAATCGATCATAACTTCCTTATAAGGCTTTAAGAGGAGTTTATTCAGCCTCAACTGGACAAAGTGGCCATGTACATCAACAATATCACTGCAGCTT